AAGCATCTATACATTCTGTAGTGCCTATATATCGCCTGAAAAGGAAGAACGTCTTTTGAGATTTATTATGCCTACCGATGACACTTCTTTTGTGGCAATATTTGATGCAGCAAAACACTACAATGTGAATTCATCCGTTCGATAGGCTTTTTTTTTTTTTGAGCAAAACCATTCAATAGGTATTTTTGATGTTATGTGATTTGAGTTATTTCTATCTTTGTGATTCAACATATGCATCTTAATATCATTATAATACGTGTTAGATACCCAATACTCAAACATGGGAAACTTTGTCAACAGATTAACAGTGATCTTAACATCACAAGGGTTTTGTACTAAAAAAAATTAGAAGTTCAGATGTTAATTAGAAAAATTAACTTCTCCTGATTGAAAAATTAAAGTTTAGAAAAAAAAATTTATAACTTTTAGGTGTGATCACATGGCCTCCTTGAACCTTAGTGGGAGGCCATTTATAGCTTTTTGAACAGCGTTGGAGGCCATGTGATCATACAAGAAGACCTTTTTGTATCTAACAAATAATAATTAATCCCAGCGAGTGATCTCAGAATATCATCAATTTTGGGGGAATCTTTTTCCATAAAGCAACGTGATACTTGCGATTCTTTTTAAAGTTGTTATCAGAATATATAATAATTAGAGTAAAACAGACTGACTGCCTTTCTATTATATTTTAATTATACAAACCTCCTCTCTATTTTAAAAACTCATATAAATTCTATTAAAATTAAAATATATGTTACATAAACCTCCCTTATATATTTGAGATTTAATTTTCATTCACCTAACCGTTAGTTAATTGTCAAATTCAAATTTGACTGAAATTTCGCTCTTTAGCATAAGAATTATCCAAAAATATAGATTTGCCAAAAAAAAATTTTTATACAACTAAAAAATATAATAAATATTTTTTGAAAATTTCATCTTCTTATAAAATTTTAATTTGTATCAAGTTTATTGAAACTTATTTACTTGTTTTTAAAATTGCCAAAAACATATTTTAAATATATATTTTTGTTCATCACATAACGATATAAGTTTGAGGGATTATATAAATAATTTAAATTTAAAATTTAAAATTGTAAACATGTTTTTTACAATGAAATTATGTAACTATCAAAATAATATAATTTAGGATTTATTAAAGTGAGGGGTAAATTAGTAAATAAAATTTGTTTTACTATAAATTTCAATTTAAAAATAAGTTTTTAGAATCTTTTTAGAATATTCTTAAATTATATGTTTTTAAAATTGAGAGAATGTCTATGTAATCAAAGTAAAATAGAAGGGTTGTGAGGGTATTTTGCTTCAATAATTAACATGAAATATTAGGCTTGATATTTAAAATTTATTTAATATTTTAATAATTAAAAATTAAGGTAAAATATATAAAATTGGGCCACCTTTAATTAAGATATTATTAATGTCATCATTATTGGTGCAAGTTGAGATTTCCCACGTGTTTGCACCACGATCTTGTTGCCTTGATATCTACAAAGCTTAGCGCAACGGCCTTAATTGGTTTGTTTGTTTTTTTTTTTTTGGTCCATCCTGTCCAAATCTCCAACGGAGCGAGACAATTTTTAGGACTGGATGGTGCACAAGATGAAAATGACGTCCCATTCTGTTTTCAGGACTGGATACGGAGTGGGGTTGTCTGGCAATCCTTTCGTTTTCCATGAGCATTCCTTTTCAACAAGATATAAAAATTCTCTTTGAATTATATAAAATATCTTTTTAATTATATAATTCTAATATCGTTTGTTTCATCCCAACAAATTTTTATGTTGAACTTTAAAATATTAATAAAGCATTCTCAAATGTTGATTTATTAAATTTAATTTTTTTAAAATAACAATAATTGACACACAAAAAAATCATTTGAAACTTATGGTGTTAAGGTTAAAGGAATAAAAAAAATTTATAAAATTAAGAGATCAAATTGAACCCTTCATAAAGATAGAGAACTAAAATTGTATTTTAGTCTTTAATTTATATCAATTTATTTTTTCTTTTATCACATTTCTATTATCTAATTAGTAAATAACTGTTGGAATATTAGAAGTGATTAGGTGTTAATCACTTGATAGTTAGTGACCCTAATGTGTATATAAAGGGCACAACTTTGGATTAGAAAGGAAGGATGTTAACATGGTCATCACCTCATCGTTAGTTTCCATCATTTGGAGTTTGTTTATCACCTAAGTTAAGGGCTGATTAGATTTGTAATCCTTTAAGTGAAGAAATGTTGTGTTGCTTTGTAATCATTGTTGTTGTGTAATGAAAGAGTTTCTCATCCATATTCTCTCCTAGATTTTCTATTAGCTAGTATTAATCCAAAATGTAGGGGACACTTTCCAAAAAAAAAAACATTAAATAGTTTTTATTTCACTAATCACTACTACAAAAAAAAAAGGAAAAATGACAGTTATTTTAGCCCATAAATGACAGTTATGTGGCTGACATTTAAAGTCCTCCAATAAATGACGGTTATATAATCATTTTATTTAAAACATAATTTTTAAGAGTCAAAGCTATGAGGGGAAAGAATAAATGATGTGTAAATATTTTACTCGTCATTTAAAGTGAGAATAAATGACGAGTAAATTTACCCATCATTTTTTTAACTTTAAATAATGGGTAAAATATTCACCCATCATTTACAATATGGCACCGTACTTTAAATGACGGGTAAATAAAATTCATCATTTATTTAAATAATGGGTAAATAATTTACCTGTCATATATTGTAAAATAAATGAGGGTTATTTAGATTAACATCATTTAAATAAATGATGGGTAAATGATTTACCTATCATATATTGTAAGATAAATTACAGTTATTTAGATAACCATAATTTATTATATAATTTTTTTAAATATAGGGGCTGCTATTTATACCAGCCCATTGTAAAAAGAAATTAAAATAGCAGCAGACATCCATCCCAACATTTATAAATTTGAATATCAACATAATTTATCGTATTCAATTACAAAATTAATCAATGAACATCACTTATACTAGTCTATATCAAGTAGTCAAATGTAATTTTGTAAAGTAAACTATTTTCCAAAGAAAAATTAGCTATTAAATATATAAACATTCTAGCTACTTCTTCTATATAGTTCTATTAATCTTCTTTGTGCGAGGTCCACATTTAAAAAAATATTGACACCATTTTTCAATTACCTCATTAATTTATTTCGACATGCTTGAATTCTTCAATGTGAGAATCGTCATAGTACTGTAATATATAAATGATCCATCATAAATTAAATTAATACATTAATTTTGTTTTGTAATTGAAAGTAAATATTGTTGACATACCATCTCAAGAATTATGCTCTTGTTATGGATAATGATGTCTTTCATGAACCTTATGATGTAGAAGCCACAATCCAAACTATTTTTGATTTGTCTTAGATACTACAAATTAAAGAACCGATGAACATATATTAATGCATTATATTTCAATTCAATAAATGATTCCAATTACCTTTATTATAAGGGTAGGCCACATCAAAATTTGTAAAGGACTTTAAAATTGATTGTTTTATGTTTGTGCGGTAAAACAAAATTGCCCTAATAAACAATAAAAAATATGTTAGCATGAAATTTAAATAAATAAATAAATATGTTAAATACTTTTATACACTTATGTATTAACCAACTCCAATAAAATTTGTCAATTTCCTGGTTGCCCTCCAAGAGAGTCCAGATAATATATTTTTGGAATGTTGCCAAATGGTTTGACAGCAATCAACATCCAATGGTCTCTAATAGTATTAACAAATTTTACAAAATTATAATTAATCAATTAAATTAAAAGTAAAAAAATCATTAAGATAAGTGAGAAGTATGTTACCCTTAATAGTATGGTATTATGAATAATGTTCCATTTTGATTCCTTGCTTGAAATTTTCGCTCAATGCCTTTGCTTGTTCTTAAATTTTATCATTTTTAATTAAGGCATGTGCACTTCATGAGGACTAACAAAGATGAAATTCGTTTGTAATCAAAAGGGGTAACAAATTTTTCATATAAGCACCTACCATAAATATTTCAAATGGATTAATTTATATTTAAAATATTAACTATTCATATATGAAAAAAATTACCGTATGTAAAAGCTGAGAACAGTGAGGTTGGTCATATAATGTAGAAGCACTTCATTAATAATATCAATCGAAAACATATCATATTGGCCTTTGCCATATATGCCAGCCTCGAATGGGATTTGCAAGACCAGAGGATTAGACCTATGAATCATTGCATGTGCCTGAAGTAAATTTCGGTGTTGACTTAGCAATTAAGGCTCTTGTTTAGGCATAGCTTTATAAGAGACTACCTTTCTTGAGGAGATCTTAGATTAAGTATCATTTTTTTTTCTTGGACTGTGCATTTTTACTAGTTTTTTTTGAACTTGACATCCAAACTTGACTAGCTTGCCATCCAACAAAACTACTCATTGCCTTTCTAACAATCCCAACATCCTCGGTGGGAATAGGTAGTAGATAGTTCTAATCTTTTGATATATCAATACCAACCCATACATAGGATGTAGGGAGTGGCATATTATGTAGCATGTCTTCCAGCAAATTGAACACCCGACTGATAGCAACCACATGATGATTTGAGCTATTTGCCAACAACTCATACATGTTTTTCACCCTATTTTACTAAGTAACATACTATATTAAATCATGAAAAATAAAAATAGTGAAAAATAAGTGAAATAAATTAATAATATTTTACTTTCAGGGAGATTTTTAATAGGTTGCATTATATTATAATTTTCTTGTCACATCCTAGTTCTAAGGGTGTAATCGGCACGGAATATGAGATAAACTCATATTCCTTAAGCCTTAATTATCCAACTATTAAGTTATAATAGCGATAAATAAATTATACTGATCAATAAATTATATAATATATGTATATATGTATAATTATAAAGTTCATAGAGTCTTAAACATTTGATGAAAATTTCGACAGAGCCTCCCCTCTAATTAGGACATCCAAAATTTCTATAATCAATAAACCTGTCAGCCAATCCAGAAAAGGAGCTTAGCTCCACACCAGAAGATTACATGATAACAAAATAAGACCAGAACTTAACTATAATATACGTGGAGCACTAAGTACCATTATATAATATAATGAATATTTACATTAAAATAAATGATTGAAGCATGCTTCCACTGTCCAAAAAGCAATAGAGCCCCTCAATGATTAGTAGGAGGTGTAAGATCAACTACATTATCTGAGACTAAAGAAATTTTTTGATGAGTAGCGTCCCAATGAAAATTATATATAAAACATGTAAAAGTAATAATTAAAAAATTTGGTTTATAACAAATCAATGGAATATTAAAACCCATATTTTACTAACAATAAATGATAAAGTTTGCTCAACAGTATAACCATGAACTAAACCAATAATTTTGGAGTTTCATAGGTTATCAATAATTGTACAACTCATAAAAGTATATAAAATGAATTCAAATAATGATAAAAAAGTGTTTGTGAATAAATAATATAAAACAATGATTTTTTTCCTTTTAAAACCAATTTAGGAGGAAATTTACCATATAAAATCATATACAATCAAATAATAGTTTGTTTAATAAAATAAATTTAAAAATAATAAGTTTTTGAAAATTCTCTTTTAGTGGGACTTTATCAGAACGATTAACAAGCGTTAACACAATCCATGAGGGCAAATAACTAACAATCGCGGCTTAAAGCCATGAAATAATCAAGCGTGACTAGAAGCTATGAAACAAGTCAAGCACGAAATCCACGAAACAAGCGTGAGTACAATGCTCGCGAATATCCATCCCTCCATTCCACGTGCGTTGGCCTGTGCACGGGGCTAACACCTCCTATAAGCACCCTGCTAGCTAGGTATACCATGGCGCACCAAGGGCTAACGGAATTGTCGTTAGCATCTAGCATTCTAAAACTTAGTCCCCCTAATTCAAATCGAGCGTGCATGGAGTTGAAACATACATTGAAAACTATTCTTTTCAAAATATAATATTCGACTATTATATTTTCTTTTCAACTTTCTCTATGCATGAATCACCGTTTTTTTATATGTGATATAAATCATAAAATTTAAACAACAAAAATGTTTAGAATAAATATTCTGTTACTAATGTACTAGATCCAAATATTCTTTAACAGTAACATAATTCTTAATGAATATAAAGCAAATTCCATAATAACCAGCTAATATAAAAGTTAGGCAAGTAAAAAGAATTGTATGAATCCTAAAATTAAAATTGACAAGAATATCTATACAACTTATAAAGGAATAATGTAAACATTTAAATAAAGAAATTTATAAACACTTTGCAATAAATTATTTGGGACACTACCCACTCACCTAAAAATTTCCCAAAATTCTAAAACTTGTATCTTTTAACTTTCCTCTTTAATTCTAATAATGCTCTTAATTTCCTGACAAATAAATCATAATTCTAAAATTATTTATCAAGTAATTTTCTAACACTTGGTGAACATTTAAATTGATTTTCAAACAATATAGCAACCTAAAATATACAATCTATAAATTCATTATTGATTAATTAACTTATTAACAAGTCAATTAAAACAATAGACAATATTTCCACCTCCTTTTGTACCTTCAGAAACTTAATAAAATGTCACAACCATCATTTACTTTAACATGATCTACCTTAGGTACTTTAGAATTCCAACTTAATTAATGACTCAAATCACTACTTACACATGTTCCTTCAACTAACAATATGGAAATTAAACCCTTACATTCTGCCAAATTCTTCTCTCATACATTTCAAGCTTAGCACTGCATTACCTATAGACCTAAACACACACATAAACTTCACTAAACTTCTATATTAGAAATTAGCCACTTTAATTAATCCAAATTATTCTTTTGATCATTTTAACAATCAAAATATACTTGAATCAAATGAACTATTTAATATATCTTAATTCATTCTTATACCTCCTATAACTCATCTTCAATCATAAATCATATCAACTATTCTTATGCTTTCTTCAAACTTAATAAATTGTTATACAAATACTCTATGTAATCCTTACTCCTAATTTAGTATTTTAAAATTTCAATCAATAAATCAAGCCACTTCTGGCACATAAACTTTCCAAATTATACTATACCAATTTAGCAACATTATTTTTTTAAATTTCTTCTCTCAATCATTTCTACAAACATCTTGAGTGCATTCCAATTCTACTCACAATAATCTCCCAACCATTTAATCAACTTCCAACATTAATTCTATCATCAACATTAAGCCCACCACCAACTTAGGATAATGCATAGTATCAACCGAAACTACCACTCAATTTCAGAAAAATCCATGACAGCAACTGAGAGGAACAAGGGCACACTCTTCGGCCAAGGAACAGGGAGAATACATGTTGCTATTGAAACCGAAGGAGAAAGAGGAAGAATCAGTGTCTTACCTTGAACCAACGTGTAGTGGAGCTGCCACTCTTTAGCTCCCAAACCACACTGAAAAAGAGAAGGAGAGTTTCAATCCAGCTGCTCGACGAGGAGGGGAAACAGAATTTTTAGACTAGAAAAAGAAAATGATTTGAGCTTGCTCTGCACACACAAACGTGTAGCGGTTGAAGGGAAGAAAATAGAAAGGCTGAAGACGCACCCGTACAAACCTAAAAGAGTAGAGAATGACAACAGCAGAACTAGCGTCTTCACACTTCCAGCGTCTAACCACAACGGTGAGGACAGCTCAAGTTGATGGCAACAAATAAGTCAACAACAAGGACAAGAGAGAGATGGCTCAACGCTGAAGAATGAGAGGACTCAAGGTCGGTGAAGAGAAGGAAAAATGAACTCTCTCGAAGCTCTGTTTTTTCGCACGGGAAGAGGAGTAAAAATCTGATATAAGAATAATTGAGAAAATTACAAGAAAGGATCAAATGTTCCTGTTAACACAAAAGACAAGGGCAACTTTTGATAATTTTTCTAGAATTTAAAAAAATAAAATTAATCTATTGCTTAGAAGAATTCAAACTCTAGACCTTCAGATATGTTATTATTATAAGTTTTACTTGACCACCACTCTTCATTTTCCATAGAACTAGAACAATTAAATAAAATATCAATTGAGAAAAGAAAAGAAAAAATTATTTAGTTTAAAATTTAGGGTCATTACATATCTTCCTTGCTGGGACTAATATGAAACTCTTCCTCCCACCTCTCCTTGTCCTTTAGCAAGGCTTCAATCATATTTCGTTGCCTAGATAGCTTCTTTTTTAGCGTGGCAATCTCAGCACTTACACCTACATCCTCTATTGACTTTGTCTCCTTTTGTATCCTGAATATTTGTTTTTTCATAACACTAAAGCCATAGCTCCTAACTCGACCAGGGTGTTTGGGATTACCCAATGCCTTGTCCAAGACATCATCATCAAGTGTGCCACTTTTCTCGATCTCAGTCTGTGCAATATATAGTAAGAAAGTTAAGTTAGTTAATTGATTATAAAAAAAGTTAAGTTAATGTACTTACACATTTGTCATCAAGCTCCTAAACACGTTCATCAACATTGTTTCCTTCTTTGTTAGTTTGACTTTCTATGAAGACTTTGTGATGTGAAACTGAGCTTACTCCTAAACCCTCTCACTCAATCTATGAATTTAAATAAATTTGAATGTTAGTATAGTACATATATCCATAAAATAGGCCAAAAATATATAGTATAAATATTAACATACCATTTGTTGCTCAATTCCTGCATATCTTATGGGCCCTTTCTTGTAAGAGTATAGATATTTCTCATGCAACTCTTTCTTTTTGTTGCTCAATTCCTATGCAAAACACATAGAATCATATCAATAAATGTAAATATATTGACAATAATAAAATTAATTCATCTTATTATTCATACATGAAATTGTCTCTTGAGACATTGAGCAACAAATTCATCCCAATGTTCTTGTGAAACTAATGCCCTTATCAAGTCAGGGACCACAGCACTAATGTATCAACCTAATTTTTTAATGTATTTCACTCCCATGAAATACCTAAATGTCTGTATTGCCTTTCTAGCTTGTTGGATGACAAATTTCATCTAATTAGCATTAATTATAAACACTTCCTGTAAACTAAGACAATTAATTAGATTTTCAGTCAAATATTTTTAATTAATTACAACGATGTGAGTAAAGTATTTTACCTCTAATTGCTCCCAAATATATTCTTCGTTGCTGGAGTAATATTGTTCCAGTGCCTAATTGTAATCGGTACATTTGGTTTTGCCACAACCTCTATGTAGGTAATGAATTTATTTCTGTTGCTCTTGATAGGTTGACTTTTGTAATTTCATTTGATTTCATATTTCTGTCTAGTATCCCTTCTTCTATTCACCTCAGCCATTAATGTCAATCCTCTTATTATTTGAATTGCTTCTAGCTGAATTTGCTGGTCATTCATGTCAACACTAGTATCAGCACTACTAGATCCATTGAGACATGGACTCCTTTGAGAAGCTAGTTACCTACAAAAGTAGAAAGACAAAAGAAATAATAAGAAACAATATAAACAAAATAAAGCACATAATAAGTAATTTATAAGTTTAAGTTAAATCATACCTTATAAAAAAATAAAAACACATAATAAATAATAATAGAAAATTAAATCACACAAAATAAGTAACCTACATGTCCAAATTGTTGTTTTCCTTTTTCTTATATGTTCCTTATCTTTTCTCTCCTTTTTTGCTCAAATGCTTTTATCTCTTTTCTTTGAAATTCAAATACCTTCATTATGATCATTTCTTATATAAAAGGCCTCATCCTCAATGAAGTAACTTTCAAATGATGTCCTCGTAAATGGATCATCTTCAACTGTAGAATTATTCATATCGTCATTTATTTTACTGCTAAATAAAACAATGGACCAATTTACTTGAGGCGGATCAAGAACAAAGAACAATTGTTGAGCTTGTGAAGCCAAAATAAAAGGCTCATCTTTATAACTTTCTCTATTAAGATCCACCATTAAAAATCCCAAGTCATCAACTTTAAGATCATTTTTACAATCAACCCACTTACAACAAAAAATTGAAACTTAAAATTTGATGTAATCTAAATCCCAAATATGCTCAATTACCCTAAAGTATGACATTTTTGCATACCAAGAATTTTTGTCTTTAGTACTAGATATATGCATTACTTGGGTTATGAGAGTTATATCATTATTTTGCATTGTGCTCGGATCATCTTGCTCTTTGGTATAAAATGTGTATCCATTGATGAGATAGCCATTAAAGGAAAGAACTCGTTTATTTAGACCTCTTGTATCACGCCCCAAAAATTTGGCATGATTGACACGAGATACATGCACAAGCACACATCTCTAATGCCTCAGTTAAAGAAAATTCCCAATTTAATTATTGACACACTATTAATATAATTAAATATACTTATGTTACTTGTCATATAAATCAACATAATAAACTTTTTTGTAAAAATTTCAACAACATCTTCTTTCTACATGGAATCTCTCAAAATTTCTACAAAAGTTTTTACAAAACAAAAAAAAAAATCTGAATGTGGAGCTATGCTCCCTATCAACTGACATATTATATAACAACAATAGAACTCTAACTATAGCCTATGTGGAGCATCTAACCATATTTTAAAAATAAATTCTATAAATTCTATAATTATATCAAAAAGAAATAATATCAATCAAGTCTCCACCTGACTTTGTTATGAGATCCTCAGAAGTTAGTAAGAGATTTAGCATCGTCTAATGAATCTGAGACCAAAAGTATCTTTTCAGTGAATAATATCTCAATTTAGATTTAAAGAAATAAAGGAAGATAATATTTATAAAGAAATTATAAATTTCACAGTAATAATCATTATCATAATAAAAGTAAAACATGTTGCGTAATTCAAATATTCTTATAAAAATATGTAAACCAAATAAATATCAATTTGATTAAGGGAAATAAAAACATGAAGTTCAACTTTCAAGTCATGACCTTTGCCCCAAACAACTAAATTATATAATTCATCTTGCAAAGAGAAATCCATGCACAGTCAAGCAAACAGCTTGTTTAACAAAAACCAATTTAAAAGACAATAAGTTCCAAATTTTATAATTTGCGAAACTCAATCAGAATGATTAATAAGCATGGACACAAAGTCCACAAGGGTAAATAACCAACGAGCATGCACATACAATCCATAAGAGTAAGTAACCAATAAGCATGGCTTAAAGCCACAAAACAAACGTGGCAAGAGGCCACAAATAACAAGCGTGACAAGAGTCACAAAATAAGTATGAGTACGATACTCATGAATATCCATCCTTTTGTCCCACGTGCGTTAGCCTGCACATGGGGCTAGCACCTCCTATAAGCACCCTGCTAACTAGGTGTACTATGACGTGCTAAGGACTAACGGAACTGGCGTTAGCAACCAGTGTTCTGATTCAGTCCCACTTTAAATCAAGCATGCATGAGTTATAAAATAAATCATTCCTTAAATTGTAAAATCAAGCATTACCAATATATTAAATAATGGTAGATACCCAATTGTAAAATAATTATAATCTTCTTATAAAACTTTGTACAATGGAAACATGTTTATTCATGATAGTTGATAACAAAATTTAAGATATAACAATATAAATAGTCATGAATGTACTTAAATATTATTGCGAAGAAACTAAATTTTTTACTAAGTTATTTGGAACGCTATTCACTTACTTGATAAATTCCAAGATAATAATATATCCCTTCTATACAACTCTCAATTGCCCTTTAACTCCTCTATTATCTAAACAAGAAGAATGAACAACTTTCTTTAATGGTAACTCTACTTCATTTATCGCCAAGAGATATTCATCAACCCAAACTCCTTAAATTATTAGAGGTTAGACTTAAATAGCTCACTAGATCCTTCTTACTATGAATGCATGACAAACTTTAAAAGAAAAGTAGCTTAACCCATTTTTTTCATGTAGAAAGCAACATCAACATTAATCACTAGTATACGTCACCATAGCTAATCATTGATCTAAATATTCTAAAATCTAAAGGAAAAACTAACATTCTTCTTTTTTAGGCACTAGTAGAGGATCATTTCAGTGACCCAAGCTTTCACCACAATGGAAATACACGTGTGTGTGTGTTCAAACAATCTTTATGCCTTTCATAGTTTTCAACGTAGAACTTGAACAATTTAAACCCAAATTTCAGTCATTCATATACTAAGTATACTTAATTGCTCCATGCCCATCAAATTCCTCTTTTGCACATTTTAGCAAACATTTTATGTGTCTCAACATTCAATTATAATACAAAGCTCCTTCATACAATTAAGATATGCTTGATTTCTCCATTCTAGCTCTTCTAACATTTTGACAAATACCTTATGAACATCAATATTCAAACTATAGCACCAAACTTCTACTCTTCCATTCTCTTGTTCAACATTTCTGAAACACTTAGAAATTTATTATACTTTCAAAACAAGAGTACTTATCCAAAATCCATTCAGATCACACTAAAATTCTTTCTTTCTAGTCTTCAATTTAATCTTGTTAGAAAATCAATATTTCCTTACAAACATATAACAATTGATACAGAAAAATAAACAAACTTTCAGCAACTTCCAAGATCATAAAACACATATAGACCGACATAAGGAAAAGGGGGAAAGAAGGTTGAACTCACCAAAAAGCAAAGAAGAAATGAAGGGGAAGAAGAGACTCCCGCGATGTAGAACAGTGAACAACAAAGAAGAGGATTGACAGAAACTACGCACAGCAGCTCACAAACAGAGGAGAAATGGAAGCACAGTGGCGGCGTTGAAACGTGGAGGGAGGAATAGAAGGCCCGACGCATCACGACGACAGCACAAACACGAAACAGAGCCGGATCTGAATCTCTTTGCAGCACGAAGGGAAGAGGAAAGAGAAAGGATCAATGATGAACCATAGAGGAGGAAGAGAAGAACCCACGACCTAGTCCTCCAACGGCAGCAATGAAAGCACCCACAGTCACCGGCAAACGGACGGAAAGGATAGGGAAGAACAGAGGAGCGACGGAGGCCTCTGTCTCTCTCTCTCTCTGGTTGTAGAAAAATCGAAAATGGGAAGAAGGGAAAAAATGATGCATGCCACTAGTGAGAAGAAGAACAAGTTGGAAGGTGAGGAGGATGGGTTCGACAGTGATGAAAGAAGAGAGTTCAAAGTCGGTGAACCCGAAGTGGGATGCTCTGTTTTTGTTTTGTTTTGTTTTTTTAAACTTTAACGCGAAGAAATAGGATCTGATGAAAGAGTTTGGGAAAAATTGCAAGGAGAAGCACAAAGAAAATTGTAACAAAGACCCAAGAAAAGTATAACAAAGACCCAAGATCTTCTAAAATTTAAAATAAAATAAAATAAATTTTGTTCAATTTAAAATTTAGGGTCATTATATTAAAATTTGGACCCACACTTGAGAATGCTCTTCTTTTATTTATTTAAACAACACAACTTGAAAATGCTTGAGAAGGTATATTTTCACTGACTACCAATCTCTCTTTGTATATTAGTTCCATAAGTTAATAAAATAAACTTAAAATATTTTATTATAGATTATAATTTTGACTAAAATTCCCAGGGTTATTACATCTTGCCAACCATTTTAATTTTTCAGAAAATGAATCAAGATCGGTAGTCAACTTCTTAAGAATGTGTTGTTTCAGTCAAACTGTAAAACTCTTATTGTGCTTGTTTGCATGCTAAATATCCAATCTATTATGGTTATCCCTCTTAAGCTCGGCCATGTGCATCTCTATATACTGCTCAACCTCTACAGAGTTGTGTAGTATATATAAATGTGCTTGTTTCCATTGTAAGTTGGAGATTGTAACTATTTTATTATCCATGATTCCTGAAACGGATTGAAACGAACACAAAAACTGATGCATGAGAGTTATAGAAATGAAGCAAAAATGTTGTTCCATTTACACCTTCATTAAGCTAGCAAAACGTCTAGCATTTACGTTTGTAACGTCTTACCTACTTGCCTATTTCGTTCAGGGTCCTAGCACTATAAATAAGACTAGCTTTGCTGTAAGAGGCAGTTCAGACTTGAAATAAAAATCAAAATTTTCTCTTTTCATTTGGTTTTTGTGCCATTTTGGTATTAGAGCTGGTCTAAAGAGTGAGGTAAGTTGAGGAACTACGTCGGAGAGGAGAGAAGCTTAGAAAAGGAGTCCCTGACTTGTTCAAATCCTACATTCTGAATGTTTTTTCCAAAAACAAATGCCACCATCGTGCTCAAGAGATCCGAAAATGTGAAACAGGAGGTTCCCCGTTGCTAGAGAATCGCCAATTGAAGGTAGAAGGCGATAATGTCATCTGTCATGTCATCAATCTGACCGGTCAATGACAAGTTAGCCCAATCATTTCCCGCCATGTGTCACAATCGCCACGTCACCATACCCAATCAGCCATATTTCCTAAAATTTTATTTTTGCCACAAATCTTTCCATAATTTTATATTGACCCCTTTATTTTCTGAAATTTCATATTCACCCCAAAAATTTTCAAAATTCCATTTTGACCCCCTAATCTTTCTGAAATTACACTTTTGCCCCTTAATTTTACCTAAATTCCATTTTGATCCCTAAATTTAAATTACAGTTTGACCCCCCTATGCTTCCAGAATCTCCATTTTTACCCGTAGACTGTCCAAAATTCCTATTTTGACCCTATACTTTCCAAAAGTCCCATTCTACCCCTTTATCCTTTTAACGTTTCCATTTTGCACCTCAGTCTTTCCAATATCCCTAGCCTTGACACCTATCAAAATGCCTCCAAGATGTAGGTATGTGCACGAGGTTGGGATGGAAGAGATGAGACGTAAGATACGAGAGTTGGAAGCCACTATGGAAATGCAGTGAACTCTGTTAAATAATAATAGAGAAAACCTAAAAGGAGATTTGGGAAGCAGTAGTTCAACATCTACTGACAACCGCCGCCGTCCACGACAACAACAATTCTGCCCTAATGACATCAAGGTAGACATTCCTAAATTGAAGGAAAGACTCTAGTTAGATGAGTTTGTAGACTAGCTTCAGACTATTGAACGAGTATTTGAATACAAGGAGATTTTAGATGCGTAAAAAGTTAAAATTGTCGCCCTCAAACTCAAGAAACATGCTTCCATATGCTGGGAAAACCTCAGACGAAAGCGAGAATGTGAGGGAAAGCATAAGATTGAGACTTGGGAGAAAATGAAATGCCAGCTCGCTAGGAAATTTTTGCCAAATCATTACCACCAGGATAACTTTATCCAGCTACAAAATCTTCGACAGAGGTCTTTATTTGTAGAAGAATATACTAGAGAATTTGAGCAACTCATGATGAAGTATGACATTCAGGAGAAGGAGGACCAAACAATAGGCCGATACCTTGCAGGCTTAAACACATATATCAGTCATCCAGTCTAGCTTCAGCAGTATTGGACCTTGGATGATGTCATCCGTCTAGCCATGCGTGTTGAGAAGCAGACGCCTAAGAGATCTTTTTTCCAGCCTTCATCCTTTAGGGGTTATCCAGAAGCCCGTAAGGCGGAATTTCAACAGACCAACTCCTTAAGCAAGCCGCAATCTACCGCTATGCGCAAACCACCACCCAATGCTGCTAAGGAATCTGGCTCTAAAGCAATCAAATGCTTTAAATGCCAAGGATTTGGCCATATTACTGCGGATTATCCCACTCAAAGGGTTGTCACCATTAGGGAAGGACCAGAGTATGAAGCACCTGAAGAAGATAAGGAGGATGCTGAGTTTTATGGAATCGATCCTGTATATGACGAGGAGGTCACGCTGATCAGGAGAAGTATTGGTGCTTAGATGAAGTCTACATATAACTATAGTTAAAGAAGAACCTTGGCTATGATACAACATTTTTCACACTCGTTGCACGGCTTAAGAAAAAGGTTGTAATGTCATCATTGACAGTGAAAGCTATGAAAATGTAGTATCTAACTACATAGTGGAGAAATTGAAGTTGCCAACACAAGATCATCTGCAACCTTATAAGCTTCATTTGCTTAACAAGGGGAATGAGGTAAAAGTTTTTAAACAATGCCTTGTGACCTTTTCTATTGGGAACCAATATTGTGATGAAATTTTATGTGATGTTGTTCCCATAGATGCATGCCACCTTCTCTTGGGAAGGCCATGGCAATATGACTGACATGCTATACACAACGGGCGAGCAAACACCTATTCATTTACGAAAGATGGTGTCAAGTTCACACTAGCGCCTCTACCGCCCAGCGAGATTAGCCAATCTTCGAAGGAATCTAGCACCTCTAAGCCATTAGTATCTTTACTGACTAAGGAGGAATTCAAGGTGTCGAAGTCCAAAGCCCAAATGATGAGCTTTATTCTAGTGCTTGAGGTGAACGACGAGTCTGCCAATCCACCAGGAGTCATTCCATTACTATTAGAATTTCTAGATGTAATATCTGATGAGATACCACCAGGGTTGCCTCCTATACGAGACATACAGCACGGCATTGACTTCGTTCCAGGAGCAGTCATTCCTAATAAGCCTGCTTATAGGATAAGTCCTCAGGAACATGCCGAAGTCTAATGGCAAGTTGAAGAGTTGTTGAAGAAAGGGTTGGTTCAAGAAAGTGTCAACCCTTGTGTTGTACCTATTCTTCTAGTATCTAAGAAGGATGGGAGTTAGAAAATGTGCATTGACTGCCAAGCCATCAACAAGATCAGTATTAAGTATCGGTTTTTGATACCTCGGCTTGATGATATGCTAGACTAGTTGCATGGTGCCACTACCTTCTCCAAAATTAACCTTTATAGTAGGTACCACCAAATCAGAATTCAGTCAGGAGATGAGTGGAAGACCGCTTTCAAGACCAGAGATGGTCTGTATGAATGGAATGTGATGCATTTTGGGTTAACAAATGCCCCTAGCACATTTATGGGCTTGATGAATCAGGTATTGAGACCCTTCATTGGAAAATTTATTATTGTGTACTTTGATGATATTCTTATTTACAGCAAGAATCAAGAAGAACATTTAGATCACTTATGGCAAGTTTTGCAAGCCTTGCGTGAACATAAGCTTTATGCAAATTTCAAGAAGTACACCTTCCTCACTAGTGAAGTTGTGTTCTTAGGTTACATCATTACCGTAGGGGGTGTTTAAGTTAATCCAAACAAAGTTGCAACCATTGACAGCTGGCCAATTCCAAGATCTATCCAGGAGGTTTGAAGTTTCCATGGATTAACTTCTTTCTACAGGAGGTTCATCCTCAATTTTAGCTCTATTGCTGCACCACTTACAAATTGCACCAAAGCAGAGAAATTTTAATGGACAGAGCAAGCTCAGAAAAGCTTTGAGGAGCTTAAGAAGAAGTTGACCGAAGCTCCAGTCCTAGCTCTTCTTAATTTTGACCAAGTGTTTGAAGTTAGCTGTGATGCTTCTAACACCGGCATTGGTGCTGTCTTAAGCCAAGAGGGCCATCCCATTGCCTTTTTCAGTGAGAAACTCAACGATGCCAAGCTTAGTTATTTTACCTATGATAAAAAATTTTATGACATTGTTCGAGCTCTCCAACGTTAGAGTCATTACCTCCTGAATAAAGAATTCATACTCTTTTCTGATCATGAGGCTCTCAAGTATTTGAATTATCAGCAAAAGATCAACCATAGACATGCCCATTGGAGTGAACTCCTGTAGTCTTATCCATTCTTTATCAAGTATAAGGCTGAAACTTTGAACTTCGTAGCTGATGCTCTTAGTCTTCAACATGTGTCACTCATAACACTACAAACTAAAGTTGTTGGGTTTGACCTTGTCAAAGAGTTGTATCAAGATGATCTTGATTTTCGAGAAGTGTGGGAAGCAACTGTAAATCAACCTTTCCACCAGTTCTATAGACATGACTGTTTCTATTCTGAGGCAAAACCCTATGCATTCCACAGGGTTCTTTGAGAGAAGCCATAATTTGGGAAGCACATAACGGTGGATTAGCTGGACATTTCGGACGGAATAAAATAGTTGACCTTGTGAAGGAGAACTTTTACTAGCCTCGACTTGAATGGGATGTCAACAGGCATGTACAGAGATGCAGAATTTGTCACTTAGCTAAATCCAAAGGTCAGAATACTAGATTATACATGCCTTTGCCAATTCCAGAAGCACCTTAGGAAGATGTAACTATGGATTTTGTTCTGGG